AACACCCCCCCACCCCCCGGGAACCCCAACTCCGATCACGCACAACCCAGCGCCCGCTTTCTGCCGTGCCAGCAGCCACGGGCTGAACATCACCAAGCGCCACCCGGCAGCCCGCCTTCCAAAAATCCAGATGAATTCCTCTCAACGAATGAACGGCACAGTAGGTTTTGGTTAGGATCCTTGCACGGACCAGCAGCCCCGAAGCGATCGCCACGGGAGCTCAGAGTGGCAGCGTCTCGCTGCCGCCCTCGGGCACACGCTCCAGCCACCTTCCGACACCCAATTTACTTTGTTTGAACTTCCAGAGCTTCCTCCAGCCTACATCTGTCGGTAGTTTTTACTTGGTGGTTTGTTTTTTTTTACAAAACAGGGCTCGCTCACTTGTTTCAGACTCCCTTATCTGGAAAGCAGCAGAGAGCAGAGGAAGGATGAGAGACGCGTGTCACAGGCGAGAGGAAACCCCCCACACTTGTCCAGACTCAGAGGTGGAAATAGAAAACAACTTCAGAGCTGGGTGTGCCTGTAGGTGCTGGGTTACATCTCCTTTGTGCAGGAAGATTTTTATATTTAAGATATGTGATAGTGGGGATTTTGGCTTTAATTTAAACAATACGGAGCTTTCTGTTGCCCTGAAGGCACTCTGTCTCTCTAAGGACTGGTTCTGGTTTTGTGGGTTTGTGTTTAACATTGTCTCCTTCTGGGCTCACACTGATGAAATACTATCGCTGTTATTTCCTGTAATTTTGAACACACAGATATGAAAAGTTCTCATCGCCAGTATTGATCAAAACCACATTATTTTTCATAAATGCACTTTCCCTTTTTGAAAAACAAACCAACCAAAACCTCACAACCCAGCCAAACTCATACTGTTATAACAAAAAACTTGTACTGAAACACAGCTTACTGATTAAAAATGAAGTGTCTAAAGGGAAACTGAGGCACAGAGTGATGCAGTTTGTTCTCATTTGGCACAAGCAAACGGGGAAACTGGGAGCAGAACTGAGGAAGGGTGAGACTTCAGCACTGTGCACCCAAAAGCAGCGTCCCAACCCCTGCACGCCGGGGACTACACCTGGGAGCAAAATCAGGAGCAGAGTCCTGCCCGTAGCTATCCCGCTGCTCCACTCCAACAGTGATGAAGCCTGGCAGCCCTCTCTTTCACACGAACCACTTGGTTGTTTCCTCTTTCACTGATTAAAATCAAGGGCACGAAAAGGAACAAACTTTTCACCAAGAAATCAGATGGTGCAAGACACACTGTCCATGTTTGTACGCTGCCTTTTGAGAAAGACGGGGAGTGACTGGAAGGAAGCCAAGAGGTGAGCAACGAAAATCATCAGCTGTCTACAGAATGACCTGTGAGGGAAGAGGAAAGAACCAGCGTTGTTTAGTCTCTGTGAGAAAACAGCTGACATTTCATATTAGCCTTCAAATATGTAAAAGGGAAAGAATTACTGGGCTTGTATTGCAGGAGGGGAGTGAAATTCTTTTTTCCAAACATGTAAACTGAGAAGTTAAGCACAGAAACAGACCATTTAGAGGGACTGCAAAATCTCCTGTAATGGCATTTTTTAAGAATAAACTGGACAAGCTGGGGAGCAGATCCTGCTGCGGGGTGGGGATGGATGGAGAAGGTGACCTCTTAAATATCCACTGAACCTCAACCTCAGGGTAACCGTAGTTTGAAAATCAGTTTTCACTGCCAGCTGGTGTGGCAACAGCTTGCAGAATTCAAGTCGTTTATTCTCCCAGGACTCTACGAAATGTTTGGGTAGAAACTATCTCTTGAGCCCAAGGGAAAATATTGCAGTGTTCCTTTGGGAACACAGCCAAGGTACAGAGGATAAGGTCTCTGCAGATACTGCCACCAGCTGAAAGTGTGTTCAGCTGCCAGACAGTCCATGTTGTTTCAGGACTAGCAGATAATCCAAAAAAAATCACCAAAAATCGGTTGTTGTCAGCCACGGAAGGAAGCAACAGGATATCCTGATAGAAAACACTCTTCCATTTAGCCCTGTAGATAACTCTCGTTGAAAGCTTTCTGCTCTGCAGCCAAAGATCCCAGACACAACAGAGGAGCTTATTTCAGTGCAGGGTTCACTGGGCAGCACCCAACCTAGGAGGGCCTGCAGAGGGGCAGAATCGGGGGCTGATCCAGGAGGCGACCGCAGGAGGAGACCGACGCGGTGGCTGCGATATCGACTCCCTGTGCCGTCCCCACTCACACCTTTCATGATGAAAGTGAAGTGGAAGTACCAGTGTGGAGAAACACTCGGAGGAGACAGGCAGGAACGCAAGCCTTCCTTTTCTTAGAGGCGGTTTTGAAGTTGCAGCGTTAAGTCAGAGCTGAAGGTGCTTTTTTTTTTTTTGATTTCTGTAAATCCAAAACCCCGTGAGCTCGGCCGCCGCTGTGCCCTCTAGTGGGACTCTCCCGGCTGCGAAGGGGAAGCCTTTCCTCCTCTGTCGAGTCGTTGTCTTTTAACTAATTTGTTCATATAATGTATGCAACATTTGGTTAGCTCATTCTGAAAAACAATTGTTAGAAAAGAGGCAATGCTAGGACATTAAAAACCAGAAAGATCGTTCATCACACTTGAACAGTAACTTATTTGAATTTTAGCAGAAATCTGCCCAAAAAATGCAGATCTTTCTCATAGAGTATTTCCAAAGAGTGCTCGCTCTTGTGGAAGGAGAAATACTAGAAATTAAATCAGTTATATGCTAATCTTAGGGTTAATTAGAGACAAAGCCATCATTTGAAACACTGCAGAGAACACAAGGAGCTAAACAATCACCGAAGGGCAAACCAATGCAAGGTCCGTGCATTTCTTGCAGCGCCTGCCTGTGCAGGCAGTGGTATTCTGAATATGTTTTTCTCTTTTAAGTATCTTCTAATCTCACCTGCTGTGCACAACGCTATCACTGGGACTTGGCTAAAGGTAATTCTCACTAGTGAGAGCTGCAGCCTGACAGCTCGGGGAGACCAGGGTCCTCAGGGGAACGGGCAACGCGGACAGAGCCTGGGTTCAAGGCCTCCTGAAGAACCCTGAGCCATGGGAGCAGGCAAAACTAGGTCATTTCCGAAGTCAGCAGCAGTGTGCGATGCCTGTCCTGTCTAGACGTGTTATTAAACAGGTAAGAGCAGACTGTATCTGTTCAAGGCTGAGCTTACAACCCTGATGACGTGCGAGTATAGGCGAATATAATGTCCACTTCCAAATCGTACTTTGGATAAAAAGGGATCGATAACCCTACAGGTACAGCACAGGGCTGTTTGTCAAACCTACACCCTCAGCATTTCAAGTTACAGTGGTCACCAGGAGTTCAGGAGCACTGCTGGAGCAGGGCAGTGGGACCAACTGAGGGAACAGCACGGTTATCCCATCGCACCATAAGCTTCTGTCCCATCTGATTGGACATAGCAGGGCAGCACAGCAAGTTTTGCGTGCAAAAATGATATTCCCCACCCCTCCAATTAATTATCAGTGATGCTGCTAAAGCAATTATTCTGTTAAATAAGTAGTTCAAGTGTCCTGCAGAGCGTTTAGGCAGGTTTTACAACAGTTTTCCATAGAAACATCACTCAGAAGCCTGCAGCCCTGAAGGTGACACCCAAGCAGCACTTCAACTACAACTGAGAATTTTCCCTGAAGAGATTCAAACCTTTCATTACAGCCAAAAATTATAACGAGGTGAAATCTGACACTAAACAGAGAGAAAACACTGATCCTGTTCTTGCACCGAAGTAGGTTTGTTTACAAATTCTGGTCTTTCTGGAAAGGGATGAACTTTCCCTGCTAAGTCCAAGTTGTCTGCTGTGGCTTAGTGGCAGAAACCAGGATCAAGAACAATCCCCGGATTTCCTTTTTTTCTAACAGGTAAAGACTTTTTCAACTAAAGGGCTCTGATAGTGGGTTGTTTCATCACTAATTTATGTTGACAAATGTAACTATACCTATGACATATAGATATATATTCTTTTCCTACTCAAAACCCTCATTAAGAAAGCAGTGGAGCAGTTCTCTAAACTGGTTTGCACCCTGGTACACAGAAAGCCCCCCAGGGTTTGCAGACTGCCTTCCTTGAGCCCCTACATTAAGGCAGAAAAGCCAGCCTGTTCTCAGACACCGCACACTGCTTTGAAATGGTGTGTGCCAAATCAGACCATTTAAGAGGTCCACAAACTGATGTTAGAAAGAACCAAAACCTTGCTTTAAACTAAAAGCCAGGAGTCTTATGTAATCTTGTATGAAACTCTGCTCTACTGGCTATGAAAAGTTAACTGCATGCAAGAGTCCACAGTCGCTACTGATGCGGGAATGATTAGCTTAAAATCAACACATCTCTAAGAATAGTTCAAGAACTACAGCAGTATTAAGAGTGATAAACAACTACTACCCAGGGACAAACAAAAGGCTCATCAAACCCAGCAGCCCAGCAGCCACTGGCTGATTGATGCCTGAGGAACCAGCACTGGAAGAGAGGCAAACATGCAGCAGGCCTTCCTTAGGACACATGTTCAAACAAGCTGAAGGCCTAACCCAAACCAGGAGTCTAGTCTAAAGAATATGGACTAAGAAGGTAACACAAAAAAAACATCATTCATTTCATTTATTTCATTCAACAGGTTTATAAATTACTCCCATTGGGACGAGCTCTGCTGTGACAGTGATCAGGGGAAGGGTACTACGCAGGCTGGTCAGTGAAGTTAAATTTGTTCACAACCAAGCGGTCACAACTGTTCATGGGAGAGAGAGGGACACCGTGACTTGTTGCAGAATCTGTATTGGGCATTTCAAGTTCACCTCAAAGCAGAGTCTCAGCGGATGGATGGCTCCAAAACACTCTATCCAGCAATAAATTTCCTACAATAAACACAAAGCAGTCATTAAGGAGTGCTTCCTGCAAAGTGCTGCGGCAGCCAACGCTACAGACAGAACAGAGTTCAAAAACCTCAAAAGCCCGAGGTTTCTGTTACAGAAGCTGGTCCAGGCACAGCAGAAGGCAGGCCTGTAGTCACTCTGGAGGGAATCACAGGCCACCATAGAAACATCCTCTTCCTCTCTTCCTGTGGAGAAATATGCTCTTTCCAATGACACATCAAAGCTCTCGCTTCAAAACAGAGGACACACGCTGTGGTCTCAGAAAAGTATCCACACCCCTACTACTAAGAATTTTTAAGTAAAGAAAGCCCTTACGAGGTAATTTAATTGCCTCTACATGACTTGAGAGCTTTTCCACTGACTCGTCCATAAACATCTGTGGTCACCCAAGATGCTACGAGTGCAGCTGATTTTCTTGAGAAGTTTCTTTCATCCTTCGGTTACATAAAAGATCTGTGTGATATACATTTTGACAACAGAGAAAACGCAGTAAATTGCTTAAACTGCAACATGTATGGAAAAAGAGATTTACAGATGTAGTAACAATTTGCTTTGCGACTTCCAGACTCAACCACTGGGTGGCTTGAAGGCAATTATCTTACTTTCATTTATCAGCGTTTAAATGTAACTGTTATTCTGACCAGAAGAAACAAGTATTGAGATGTATAGTTTCCTCTGGACCTTTTCCTATCAGTATCCTTTCATGCAAGGCAAACACCTTCCTAACTCCCTTCTGTCTGCAGCAGAGAATAAAAAAGCTCTAAGCCTGCCTACGACACAAATGTGCATTCAGAGGCCCAACAGAAGGCATCGTCTAATCGCTGCTCTAGCTTTATGGATGGTCAGTCTTACAGAAGATTCAGAACAGCGTATTTCATATGCAATTAAAGGAGGGAAAAAGAAAACAACCAACCCTTGCAGAAGCCAAATTTCCAATGAATTCATGGTACTTAGTCACCTGCTCTGAACATTCAGCTTACTTCTAATAACAGTCACAAGGAACAGAACGGAGCCTGAATTTGCCTAGCAACAAAACTAGTCATGAGCTTGAAGCCGTTCTACCTAGGAACAGAAGTAAATAGATCTGTCAAAAGTTCCAAATTACCAGAAAAAAACTTGATTTGACTTCTCAAGATCCACATTACATTTTGAAAAATCCACTGCTTGCAAAATAATCCCTTGAAAAACATATTCTTATTAATATTACATCCTTCTGGCACTCTGTGAAGCCCCATATGGAAGGAAAAAAAAAAAAAAAAACCCAAAACGTAAGTCCTGAACAATCAAATTGAGCACTTCCGGTTAGGACCAACGATATGACTGTGCCCTGGGCAAACAGGACACATCAACTGTCACATAACCACAGTGCTACTACTTAAGCTAACAGATGCACAAACAAAACTTACCATTAGAGGGAAGCTTAGTCTTCAGTTTTAAACTTGCCACCGATGTAGGGAACATACTGAAGGACCAGCTTCCAGTCTGTGATCCATATTACACCAGTACCAGCTACACCACCCCATGTAACAAGGGTGGGAGTCCTAAAGAGGAGACACACACATGTGCAGGTAAACAACATTAATTCTCCACTGTGAAAGGTCTGGCAAATGCTCATCACTAAGGTCCCTGGAAAAGTGATTTCAATCAAGAAAAAAGATTGGCAGAAATCATGGAAAAATCTCACATACACAGAAAAAGATTAGTCCCCTGAGCAGTAAGGTATTTTACAGGAAAAGGCTGATACGCTTTTATTTAAAAAGAGCATCACCAACTTCAGCAAAGACGCACTTATTTGTCCACCTATTCTACCGCCATAGCTCATGTCCCCTTTATTCTGGCCCGCAGCTACTTCATTCTCCCTCACGCACTCGCTGGCACGGCGACAAACATTTGAGCTCTGAAACACTTTGACGACAGCCAGAGCAATCCGGAGAGCAAATCCACCTCATGCAAACCACCGCCAGGCAGCCAGCCCCCCCTCCGCCCTTCCAACCCTGCCCTAGCGCTGGGCCGGGCTCAGCGGACCGCACACGGAAGGCAGACCCGCGGAACAAGGCGGAGGGGAACGGAAAGGGCTCGAGAAGCTCTTCAGGCCCCTTCGGTGAGCGGCGGGGGCCGCGGCCGTCCTGAGGTCCACGGTGAGAAGTGCGGAGCAGGCCGCGCGCTCCTCACCGTGGAC